AGGGAAGTTTGGAGCTTGATTTGTGTTCGCGTATCTCGTGTGAGTCGGGGTTCCCATGTTTCTTCCTTGTTCTCTTTCCTGTCAGTAGCACGCTTGCACAGGGAACTTCGCAGCTTGATTTGTGTTCGCTTGAACAGAACGTCATTACTTCCCCCCCACCCCCCACCCCCCCACCCCCCACCCCCGCCCCCCCCAAAGAGCAAGCAGAGCGCGTGACCGAAAGCAACATCGACGCAAATAACGCAGAAAAGTTCAGGGAAGTTTGGAGCTTGATTTGTGTTCGCGTATCTCGTGTGAGTCGGGGTTCCCATGTTTCTTCCTTGTTCTCTTTCCTGTCAGTAGCACGCTTGCACAGGGAACTTCGCAGCTTGATTTGTGTTCGCTTGAACAGAACGTCACTACTCAAAACGCAGAAAACTCAAAGCGGCAGACATCCCAAAAACATGCCTGCAGAAAGTCAGGAATACAGCACGCAGGCCACGTTTTTCGATGTTCCGACGAATTCGCAACCGAAAATGTACTACCAAAAACGACGTCGTTTTTGGTGAAAAAAACAAAGACAGCGCGAATCAGACAAAACACTCGGCTACCAAGAGCGGAACACAGGTAACAAGGCGAAAACCTCGCGCTGGGCGGTGTTTTCCATGTGGCGGAAAGGCCGTGCGAAGGAGAAGTGCATACAAAGGCACATAAACAACAGGAAAAACCACCCCCGAAAGTGAACCCGCTAGGCCCTTTAACGATGCAATCACACGTCGAGATCGACAGGTCTGGAAGAGCTGGCAGACGCTGTGGGATTCGACCCCAGCATCCCGCGATCTCCCAGGAGTTCATGCAGTTGTTGATCACGCACTTCTGTTGCATCATTTCGCCTTTGGGTATGCCCACTTGGGATACCGAATAATTCAGCTGCACTCGGCGTGGTTGGGATGCCAAATAGCTCGGCTGCACTAGGCGTGGAACGCTCAAGTGCTGGATTGTAGGTACGAGGCACGTGGTGCACGGGTACCGAATCCGCCACGATCGGTGCTGTCCCATGAGACGAATTGACCTCTCCCTTCAGGTTGCCGGTGAAGTAACTTCCACCCGTGAACTTTATGTCGTCCGTCACGAGATTCTTGTCTTTGCTCGACTCGGAGAATGCGATCTTCCCTCTGGCGACTGGGCTAACCTGACTAGGTGATCGTATTTCAGGGGATCGTACCTCACCTCCTACGGAAAATGAAGGCACTACGTCCTTTCCTACATGTTCCCAGCCAGACTCAGTAGTCCTTGAAGATATGGGCACGCTCGGAGGTCGGGCTGATCCAGCATGCAAGTTGGAACTTCGTGCCGCCTCCAGTTCGCTGCGCGTCCTCGATTGAAGATCTTCTTGTGTTTTGAGCGCTTTCCTGAGTTCGTTCAGCTCGTCATGCAAGGTTGGCAATGCCTGCCTTGCGTGATCTTCGTTCTGCTGAAGCTGATCTTCTGCATCTTGCATCCTCTTCACCGCCATTTTGCGATACTCTTCTTCTTCACCAAGACGTTCACGAAGTCGATGACGTTCTTGATCAGTCGCTGCGTTGTTTCCAGCCAATCCTTGAACTTCGTTCATGACTCGCAACTCCTGGTTCCTGGCGAGAAGGAATCGCTCTTGCATAGCATGCATGGCTTGTTCAGAACTAGCCGTGCTCGATCGGAGGAACAAGTTCTCCCTGGCTTGCTCGTGAAGTTCCTGCGTCAGATGCTCATACTCACGCGCCATGATTTCTCCGTCGCCTTGAGCTCGGGTTCCCAACTGCACGAAGTTCGCAGCTGCTTCCGTTCGAACCACATGTAGTTGCTGAGCCAGTTCTTCGGCAACTGCGTGTCCTCGACGCTGTTGAGCAGAATTCTGTTCATCCATGCGGAACAACGATGCTTCATAGTCCCGCTTCATTTCCTGATTGACATTGTTGATGTGTCGCATGGCCAAGCATGCGTGATCACGTTGTCGTTCCAATTCTTCAATGCGAATTCCAGATCCCTCGTCTTCTTGCTGCATCTCCTTGATCTTCTCCATCAGGGTCTGCACGACTCCTTCATATTCTTGCACTTGGCTCCGATAGTACATCTGCTGTGCGAGATTCGAAGCTTCGAGCTGTTGTCGCGTCTCCTGATAGATGTTCGGACCATCAGCTAGAGCCGGGGTAGCCGCCGAAGAAGCATCGCCTTGCACCGGGATGGTATCAAGGGTCACGTCCGCATCATCAGTTTCGTGGGGATGGTTGGTAACCATTTTCTTCCACGTCATGGATCTTTCCCGCTCTTTTGTAATCGACGTCCTAGATCGTGCCGAAGAGCTTCTAGGACGCCAGGCGTGGATCAGATATTATAGATGCGAACGGACTGCGATGCCTAGTCAAGTTCTATGGTGTCACGATAAGAGCTGTGAGCATGGCCATGTAAAGGTCAAGAGAGAAGGCACGCTACGCGTCCTTCATCTCTAGGTGTAGGCTTGTGGAAGTGCTACGCACGCCGCAATGCCGAACCTTCCTGTATGATTTCCGCCCACGCAACTTTGGCTCAAGTGTGAGCACATGCTCTAGAAAGCATTGCCCATAGCTAAATAGCTATCGTCTTCTGTGACCTTCCGAGGGACAGAGCCATCCCGAGCACAGACGATCCATCGCTGGCCGCGAAGGTGCAAAACAAGCGAGCTCTGGATCTGCCTGCACTGGGAGTGAGGCTTACGTGTGGGAAAGGGACAGAGAGAGTGGCTGAGTTCGTAGAGGGCAACCACGCCAGTATTCAACATAGCTCTGTGGGGTGAGCGACAAGGGCATCATCAAGATCAAATCCCCACGCAGGTTATCAGCTGTACGCGGCTCTGCCTATCTACAGCAAGGACTACTTGATCTACCACTTCCACAATGAACTCGGGATCAAGTCAAGATACGACAATGACTTTCGGTGCCGACGTGGCAGCGCCGGCGGTCGGCGACTCGACTGCCGATGACACAGTGGTGCAATCCGTGATAGCTCCACGGAAGATGACAAAGGTCAATCTTCAGCGCTCGCCATTGCAAAGGCAGTTCCCAAAGCAAAAGCAAAGAATTCACCAAGAGCGTCTACGCCATCACGTCCGACATCCTCAGGATCAAGGACGAGCAAGGCTCCAGAGCGACGGTCCGAAACATCTGAAGGAATAAGAGAGGACAATCATGCCATTAGGTAGTGTAAAAGAGGATGCCCAAACTCTAGAGGAGGTTCGGGGTACACACCTCGTACTCCGTAATGTTGCCGAAAAGAGCATGCATCAACCTATTTCGAACCTTAGCCGTAAAGCCTCTGGCGCGCACCTTCATTTGATCGCTCGCAGAACGAGAAGTCTCGGGCGCACGCTTGGTGGAAAAAACTGAGGCATCAAATCGATGATTCTGCTCTGGGCTAGGAAAGCCTCTGACGTTCCACACTCGCGGCAAAACGATTGATCGGCTACTCCCGGACTGTGGCCTAGTAGAGAAAAAGAACTGTGAAAACTTTGTCGTCGGAAGTTGTGCGCAGTGGCGCGCGTCCAAAACTGTGCCCTCTGGTGGGGACACGGAAGCTACAGCAAGCTGAACTACGTAAAAGGCTGTTCCGCTTTGTACAAAGGAACGCTCGGTACGGTTCCGACCAATGGTAAATCTGAACCATTGGTAAATGAGACCACTTGTGAATCTACTGTCCAAGAATGGAGGCTTCCCGGACAGAAAAGGAATGTCGTGAAAATGCGTCCAATGGTAAGTGTCACCAATGGTAAATGAGGGCGCTCCTGGACCGCAGTCCAGTGCGCAAGCCGTATGGCTCTCAGGAGCACAAACAGTGTTAATGGAGAACTCCGGAAGGCAGCCGACGGCGGCGCAGCAGCTGGCGGTAACCACCTGAGTCAGTGGGAGCTAATGTAGGGTTCAAGCCATCGGGGCCTTTGTTTGCGAAATTGCATGTTCATGATGAGGTACGCTACTGACCATACCAGATCGTGAGCTCCTGTTTCCGCTATCAACAACATGAGAGATTCAAGGCTATTTCCTTTGTTGTTGTAGTGGCGACTGAGTAGGTGAGACTTGTCAGAAACTAGAGGGTGGTCCCTTGGATGCAGTCTACCACAGTGTCGTAGAGGGTAACGAATTGGTCATTGGGAGCGGGGAGGTCCTGCTTCTTTGTCGTTTGACATTTGTGGGGGGCTGTGACTTGGTAGTACATGATATCGGGGTAGCAAGAACCGGAACTAGCTAGTTGCTTGAGGCTTTCGTTATTCCACGGAGCATACCCTGCAAACACACACCATAAGTCTTCATCATCGAACACGATTGCGTTGAGCTGTGCTACAGCTTGGTCAAGGAGGTATTCCGATTTGTCCGAAAAGAGACTGTGGGCTAGTTGGTACACGCATCCAGTGTCCCACTTTTTGGGAATACCATGCTTTTCAAGAGCTAAGCTATAGGACTGGCGGATCAACTCACGCCAGGGGACCAATTCCTGGACAATGGACGAGTTGTGCCACTCTAGATGGTTAAATTGAGGGACCTCTGAGGGCAAAGGGAGGGAGAAGTTATGGATCATTTCCTCAACGGCGGGAGTCAAAGCAGCCTCAAAAAGGTGCATCATGGTACTGTAATGGTTGGGGTTGGCGTTATCTAGCGATCGGTGGAGGTGATGTCATTCAGGCCAGGGCCTAGAGAGAAAGGAAGGCTTGTGAGGAACATACTCTGGGTCAACATTGGGTCGGGGGAGATCATCCAATCCCTCTTCCGGGAAGGCAATGGCGTAAAACCAATCTTTCACAGGATCCGACTGCTTATATCGACCAAATCCTCGTAAGTGAGATCCATCAGGGCTTGCTGGAGCTTGTGAGTGGAGTCCTCTAAGCACTCAAGAATGGAGCGCTCATACCCAACAACAAGAACATGGTAGTAAGGGCTAGAGGGTTCTGCTGCGTCTCCACCATACAAGCGAACAAAATATTGACGCTGAGCTTTGCATGCTGGGCACTTTCCTCAGCCTAGATAGCCGTTCTCTGCTGCATCACAAAGGGTGCCTTTGTCATCCAAAGGGAAGGGACACGGGAAACTGGGGAGTTTGTTCACCGGGGCTTGTTGGAAGTCCGGGAGCAAGTCTAACCTTCGGAGCTTTTCATAGTGCATACCATACTTGTGGCGACAGGTGTTGCAATTGGTATTGGTACCTGCTAGAGCCATACAATCCTCACAAGGGAAGATGAGGGAGGGGTCGTCCAAGGCACGGCCACGGGGCCGGGTCTGCCTGCCATCTCCTTTTTGGCGATCGTCCTCTCGACGTCTGCGAGTGGAGTCTCTGAAAAAATCGTAGTTCTCAAAGTCCTTCACATTCCACCAACGATCCGAGCGGGAGCGTGGGCCTACCTCTTCTACCGGCTCCCACTGTCGGTCCTTAGCTGGCCTGGAGTAATCAACCCACTCCTTCCTGGAGCCTTTGCCTGTGTCAGTGGAGGAACACGCTCTATCCCCAAATCCTTTACCACTTCGTTGGTAGTCTTGGTTGGAGTCTTCTTGTTCATCGTCTTGCGGGCGCTCCCAGCGCTTGTTGTATTCGGAGCGTTTGCCTTTGCCCTTATTACGGGAGCCTTTGTTGCCGGAGCCTTTGCCTTTGCGGCCGTAATCCTCTAGGTTGAGGCCGCCTGCATCGGAGACTGCTTGCTGGATCTGAGGTTGCATGCCTAAGAAGCCCTGGAGAACAAAGTTCGGGTTCTTGGTGAGCTGTGTGCAAAGTTCTTCTCCCATCTCAATAGGGTAAATGGCGTAGGGAAACGACTTGATAGCGTCCTCTCTAGAAACATTAGAGACATCTTTGGTGCGGGTGAAGTGGTACCTAAGTGCTGTGGTAGTGTTTCTGCTTGCTGAGGCCGAAGCCTGAAGAAACTGAATAGTGGAGGCCATCTTATCCCCAAAATACCTTGGAAACTCCGACTTCGCAGCTTCAAAGAGATCCGAAATAATCAGAATATGACACGCGTAGGCGAGGTTCGTGTCCGGCAAATAGATCACCTGAGCAAGGAGCTGCGTTTCCTCTGGATCCCAAATTTGCAAGGAGTTGAGGTCACACTTCAAATAGCCCGAAATGGAGGGGTTCTGGGGTTTGGTGAGTGCATTCATCACAGCATGGACTGGCACCCGCTCCAGGCGCTCCAGAACAGGGAGGTCACGCTCTATGCGCATAGGGCAATCCTGGTGTTCTTGGGAGTGAAACCATCTCTTCTTCAGCTTGAAAGCTTGAAAGAAAGGAGTGCTCCTCCAGGAAAGTAACCTTCAAAAAGGCATTCGTGGAGGTACTCACATGGTTGGATGTAGTTTGTATATCGTCCTCTGTAAGGTGTGCTTGCTGCAACAGGTACTGAAGATTGTGATCAATAGTCGCCTTGTTGCCGAAAGGCGGCAAGCCATGGATCAAAACCGTGCGGCGAATAACATCTGCCTCCACACCCTGAAGAGCCAAACCCGCAAACCGTGCCAAGGAGCCTTGCCTGTCCATTCTAGAAATCACTTCTGTGATTCGAGAGGAGATCCAACGAAGGCTGCACCGTGTGTTCGTGGTACTGTGCAAGTACCGTGCTGAGGTTCTCCATGGTAACCTGAGGCGGAGGTATTTCTACACTGGGTGCAGGGAGGTCAATATTGGTGGTTGTGGTAAAAGAGTTCGTGGTAGGATCAAGGCGGGCCATCTTCCTTGGATTGCGCACCGTGTTGTATGCTCTAAAGAGTTCCGGGGAATTCTGGAGAGCTTCGCGGAAGTTTGGGCCCATGTCTCCCCATTCTATGGGGTCGGGGTCCGTTGCAGGAGTACTTCCCTGGAAAGTGCTTGCCAAACCAGTGATACCAGACATTGCGGAGGCCCCTGCTGGTTGCTGGTTGCAACTGGGCCTGAAGGTTGGAGACCAACGCATCATACAAAGTACTGGAGATAGTTTCGGGCTCTTTGCCAGCCTGCCTGAGGTGAATAATTCCATTGGTAAATCGAACCACTTGTGAATCTGGCGTCAAATTGATAATCCGGCTAATGCCGGGAGCATCTGGCGGCTCTTGCTTGACCAATTCCGGAGGCGGGGATTTTACAGGGATACCGGGAGCAGGCATAACCGTTTGTGCGGGAGCAGTCTGCGGCGGAATAGGAGTCTCAGCTGTCGCCGGCGCGACAGGCTGCGCTGTCGTCTGCTCAGCAGCCATGGCGGCTGCAGGTTCTGTGGCCATGGTCCGAGTTTTCACCGAAATCTGGAAGAAATGAACCAGTCGACACGAAAATCAAGGCACAAGCAGGAAAAGCAACCAAATGTCTTGCGACGGGGCTGCTACGTCTCACCTTAAGCCTGTAGGCAGAGCCTACGGCGGATAACCTGCGTGGGGATTTGATCTTGATGATGTTCCTTGTCGCTCACCCCACCGAGCTATTGAGTAAGAGTGTGGTTGCCCTCAACAGACTCGATACGCTTTCACCTTCACTCCCACGTACAAGCACTCCTCCCAGGCAGGCAGATCCAAAGCTCGCTTGTTTTCCACCTTCGCGGTAGGCGAAGGATCGTCTGTGCTCGGGATGGCTCTGTTCCTCAGATGCTCGTGTCTTCGATGTCCCACACACCCGGCCAAGGTTCTTTGCGCCAACATGGAAGGCTCCAAGGGGCCGTTCTGAAAGACCGAAATCGCGGTCACAGTCGGCTTGAGTCAGGCTCTTCGTCTAGGCCTGCCATACATTCCACAAGAAGAGAGCAGCTAGAGTCTCCTCCATATCTCGGTCTGCAAGGCGAGGGCACCAAGCGTGTCGCTGTATAGCAGCCAACTGGTCCCAAGGCATGCTCATAAAAATTCTGAAGGGTTCTAGGGCCTGGTTGCATACTATGGATCTCTGGTCGGCCGTAGGCGGCTGTCCTGATTCATCCTGATTGGCCTCCCTGATTGTGCAGGGTCCACAGGTCGAAGTCCCGGCAGCAGTTCGTGTCATATTTTTCTCAGTGGTGTCCAGACTGACTGAACGGTTACAGAACACCCAGAAGGTTTCTAGGCTTCTGTTTGGAGATCCCGTGAAGGCACACGGCGAAAGGCTGGCCGCATTTGGTTGTCTTTGCGTGCCAACACACTCCCCTGATGTGAGGGACAAGCTGTCAAGGCCTATCGATCCGCTGAAGATTCCCGAACCGAAGTTCTCCGTGGGGCCAGAAGGAAGCCTCCTAGAAGTAGGTCGATTGCGGGGGGCAATCTGGCTGGCAGATGCGAACTTCCCAGGCTACCATCGCGGCTGGGGGAAGTGTAAACTGTCGACAAGCCGAGAGGTATGTTTCGAGCGTGCCTGCGATGAAGGCTGCGATGCTCTGCATGAGCAGCTGATCTGACAACTTAGCGGATTGTAGGCTGATCCAAAGGTTCGAGCTGTCCCCTAGCAACCACAGCAACTCCTTTACCGAAGACGGCTCCAACAAGAAGGGCTCACGAGCCGCTTGGCGGAACCACATGTGGCGGCTTAGGCCCGGGACGATGCGCCAAACTCACGAAATCTGATAGGTGCCTCTCAGCGCGCTCTTAGGCTGGAAGGGGAGCTGTCTGAAGCTATGTGGACGCTGTCTGATCTGGGGCTAGCTGCGTCCGCAGGTGGGGGCGATGGCCGAACCTGTCGACAAAGCTCGAACGCAGGAAAGTGTAACTGACACGGGCTCCACGGCAGGGCTGGAATGGGCAGGGGTCCGGGCAAGCTGGTGCTTGCAAGCAGGGCAAAGTTCGGTCTGGTTGAAGAGGCTATGACTTTCACAAGTGGATACGTTCCAGGATGTGTTGGTGGCATTCGTCGTTGATTTGGGCCGGGCTTACCCGGATAAAAAGCGAGGGCAAGCCTTCCAGGAAGCTCCTGGAGGCTAGTTTCAATTGGTTGCCCGGCAAGGCGAGGCATTCGAAGACAGTCTGCATGTACCAGGCCTAGGTATGCGAGGCTATGCGCACCGGAGCAAACACGAAGCCAGGAGGACGTACCCAGCGGGGCGGCAATTGCCTGATTGCTATCGGAAATGAGGGAGCTATGACGGGTCTTTGATGCTGAAGATGTTGGCTGGCTGGGCAGTGCAAGCTAAGACTCTGGCTAGGGGCGTCTACCGAGGCGGTGCACTACCCGAATCTCGCTTTTCGAGAACTGCTGTGCTAGAGCCAGGCTGCATGGTAGGCATATCATGCGTGTAGATATTCACAGCCTCCTAAAACATTCCTGAAACAAAACACAAAGGCCGAGAAGCCTCAGCTCCGCTACCTTGAAAACCCGCTCCTTTTCTTGCTCACAAAAGGCTTCAGCGTGCACACAATCTGTGTGTCATCCTTGTGCAGTGGCCATGCATCCCTCGTGTCAGCAGCACTCGACTGGTCACACAAGTAAATTTGAGTGCAACAGAATCTCAGGGGCACTGGGGGCCGATTTACTTCAACATCGTTCGTCTGGGTGGCCCTCTCGGCTGTCTTGACCGACTGCGCAAAGTTCCACCGGTCCGTTGACAGAGCCCTTCTCTGGACTCTCGCGATCCCCAGACCAGTGGCCTTTCCGGCCGCGGGTCTTGCAAATGCTTCGGAGTTTGATGTTCTGAAGCTTGCGCCTGCGGTGTTCGACCGTCGTAGCTCTCGGCCGGTAGCCGTGAGCTACCTTGGGGTTGCTGGCTTGCCCTCGCCCGTGGCCTTGCTTCGCGCCGTGAAAGCGACCGTCTCGCTTTGCACGACGTTGGCCAGGAAAGCTAGGCTCATGCGGTCATTGTCGTCAAAACCTTCCGAACAAAGGAACGAGGAGAAAGGGTCCGGCTCGACGTCCCTTAAGGAAGCGTTGGCTGTCTGGGCCACCAACTCGGCGTCGTCATCCTGCTCGTCCACTTGGATCTCATCCCCGTGGTACACCCAATCGTCAGGCTCCTTTTGGACCACTGCATAGGCCGTGTCCTCTTCGTCCGGGCAAGGATCCAAAACGTCCTCTACCGCCGAAAGGCATGAGTACGGGGTCCACTTCGGGGATCCTTCCCATATAGGTACAGAGTCTCTCGTCAGTGACTCCATCCACTCCAGCTCCATAGGTTGTTATCGTGACTAGGACCAAGAGCGTCAGGCCAGCTGCAACCAGAAAACTTCGGCGACGAAAGAACTATCAAACCACGATCAGAACGTACATCCCGAATGTTGAATAGCAGAACCATTTGCAAAACTGTTCTCCTGCAGTCAAAAATTCGTACCGAAAAACATTCAACGCAAGTAAGTCCAAGACATGCAAGCTGCACCGCAAACAGTGTAGTAAATGTAACATGTTGGGATTCTCAGGTTCGAGGTGTCAAAGTTTCGTTCCCTGGCTGGTGAGGAGCGCGACCGGCGTTCACGGCGGCTGCGTGGCTCCTGCTGTCGCGCGGTGCACATGTTGGATTTAGAAATCGTACTTTGTGCATCCTCGCAGTGGCCGCATCCTCCAGGAACGGAAGGCGCGTGCGCGCTTGATCTGATGCTGGTGTTGTGTGGCGCGGTTGGGAGCCTCGGGAGCCTCAGGGGTGCTCAGCTGGAATGTTGGGACCCCTGGGACTCTGGGTTCTGGAATGCTACTGGGTAGCATTCCACTCTTCCCACTGTTTGGTTCTAGGCCGTCATCTGCATTCACATCTGAATGGAAACATCGAAACACTGCGAAACACATTCACTGCTGAAGTTTACAAACATTGTCTAGTTTAGCTCTCCTCGCGGTCTGGGACGAGCCAGGCTTCGCAATCCGTGCCATCCAAATCGCGCTGGGACTGTGCTATCACCGAATCTCCCAATAAAGCATGAACCCTGCACGACAAACGAAGGTTCTCTAGGGCTGGGACACGTTGTTGCGACAGAGTGATTGCCCGTCCAGTCTTGCGCTCGTGGAAACTTTTCGTCCGCAATCAATGCCGCTGACTACGCCACTGCAATCCACTGCACTCACTGCAATTACAATACTCACAACTATGAAAATCATCAAGTGGCTTTGCGACAGGTGCGCGGCATCGCAGCACCCATCACAAATCCGAATTAAACAGTCATCTTCAAGCCGTGTGGCAAAAGGAACCGCGGCATCGCAGGAACCCTTCACATACGGCGCTTCACCGAACTGTGAAACTGTTGGCTGTGGTCACATATCCTGCAGTGAAGAAACGAGGCCTCGGCAACGAGATCGGGTTTTCTGCTTCGTTCTTCCAAGGTCCAAGCAAAGAAAGCACGATAGCCTTCATGGGAATCTTTGTTTGTCTTCCTGCGAGCAGCATAAATGGAGCATTGCATTCAGGAAGGCAGTGAAACCGACGGCAAGCGAAGCCGACGCATGGAAAGAAAAGGCATAAGAAATCCCGACAAACTGCAAAACTCGTCAACAAGGAATAGACCCCGAATTACAAACAGGACCCTGTATAATTGAGGGCATACTATCGGCTTACTTCACAAACTTTATAAAACCCTACATTGAGTGATCTTTCTTATGATTCAAGATAGATTCCGTGTTAAGCGGAATTGAAGCAAAAGACATCCCAGGTTCTCAACTGCGGCATGCGGTATAACATGTGAAGAGTGGGTTTGGGCTTTCTCGGTGTATGGAGTTTAGAATTGTTGAGTGATGCTCACGGCAGCAGTTTAGGCTTTGGGGCTTTAGGATCTTGCGTTGGCGAAGGTTTATGCCTCACAGCATCTGATGCGTGAATGCAATGGGACGCGTGAATGCGATTGAATACGTCTGCAAAACGTGTTGCGACAATTAAGCCCGGAGCCACCGCCGTGCGAGCCTGCATTGTGCTTCTGCCTGTCCAAACTCAATGGTTGTGGCCACATCAGATAGCTCCTTCAAATCTTCATTGATACTCGCAGACCCAGCAAACCCGGCCAAACCCCGCGGACCCCCCAGACCGCAGACCCGAACCCGGCAGACCCTGCAAACCCCACAAACAAAAGCCACAAGTCACATAGGCGAGAAGAGTCCAAGCAACCCACCCCCCCCCCCCCCCCCCCCCCGCTTCCCCCCATGGTATTGCAAAGACCTGCCCCTCGCACGGGAGAGGAGCCGGAGAGAGAAAAAACCAAACAATCAGGCAAGCAAGCAACCAAGCAAAAACGCGATGAACAAAAACACAGAATAAGAGAAGAAAATGAGCAAGAAAGAACTAAGAAAAAAAACTTAGACACGCCCCCTGCTTCGGCGATTCCGGGTCAGCATATAT